ACAGGGTCTCTTTACAGAGCCCTGGATATCCTGGAACTCTACATAGGTAGACCAGGCTATTCTCAAACTCACAGAGATCCACCTGCCTCTGTCTCCCGAGTGCTGGGATTAAAGACACGTAACATCATGCCTGGCTTTAAAAAAAAACAAAACAAAACAGAAGGCACAAAGGTCCTGTCTGTCCTGAGCTCCGAAAGAGGAGTGAAGAAAGAGGCTGTGTCACAGCACTGCGTTTGCATGAACCAGAAAGAGATTCTTTATTACTGACACGGAAGACACACTAACTACTAAGAGAAAGAATGGTGTTTACACAAGCTATAAAAGGGGGTGATATACATATGTGTTTGATGCATACAAGAATACATAAAGCCATAGCGACTCATCAGTAAGCCCCACGGTTGAGACTCTAGGATGTGGGAGAAGGAAGATATTTGTTATGTGTATTACTAAATATATCTATTTCTGTCTTTTAAATTTTATACTGTATACATATATTATCTAGTCACAATTAAATTACTTATAACAAAGGAAAAAATTAAGGTAAACAAAGTGTAGATGCCCCTAAGCCATTAGCACCAAGAGAGGAAATACCTTGAACTTGTTCCCAGGGCCAGAAGGGTCCATGACAAGACTTCATCTGTAGCCTGGTTCTGCCACAACTGCAGCTAGGCCATCAAAGATGATGTTCAGAGAGTCAAGCACTTGCTTCAGGGGGAGCCTGGGAGAGACAAGAACGATGACAAGCCTGTCACCAGGGAAATTCAGAGGCAGCAATCAATGACAAGGCTCGGGCTCTTGTTCCTACAAAGACACTTAGAAGGCTCTGAGGACCCTGGTGTGCCCTGGACACACCTCTGGGCTGGAGCTGCCACTCAGTGGAGCTGTCACTCACAAGTTCAGCATGCACAAGGCCCTCAGCTCTATCCCCAGCTCCAGAAAAGGAAGGTGGATTACAGAAAGCCCATGGAGGCCTTGGTGACCCTGCGAATGAACGTGTGTGGTGCTTCCAAGGGCATGGGAAGGCTCGCCAGCCCCAGTCACCCCTTTCCTGGGGTGGTCCTGATTTAGAGATGACAGGAATGCCCCAGCCCTCCTCCTTAGCCTGGTACAATCTGGTTTTATAAGGGCAAAGGCTCCTCAGAGATGTTACAAGAGGAACAAGAGCCTCGGGGTCAAGTGGGACTGTTGCTCGGGCCTCTCAGGCTGGCTCCGTCCAACTGTACCTCACCCGCCCTCCCCTGCTCTGCTTCCTTGCCTCTCCCAATGCCCCACTGGCCAACCCCACCCCACTGGGATCTCAGCAGACCTTCAGGACGCAGGCCAGCCCTCTACTCACACCTTCTCTTGGTCAGAGAGGCAGAACAGGCTCCTGTGTTTATCCATCTCCCTGGCAACACAAGCCTCCGCAGGACGGTGTCATCCAGGTATCTAGGTTAATGTTTCCTGCCTCTCCTTCTGGCTTTCTGGGGCTGGGACCAATCCACCTCCAGTTTCTGCATGAACCCCCTACCCTACCATGAATTATAACTGGCAAATGCCAAACTCTGTGTGGAACTGACTGAGAGAAATAGCGTTCCTCACATTCCCTCTTAACCCAAATGCTCCCAGGCCTACCCATGATCCCCTGCCTACCCATCCCTCTGAACACATCCCAAGCCCTTGTCAAGTGGTGCCGCTCCTGACCCTCCCACCCTCCAGGTGCGCACACACTTCTGCCTCTGACGAAGAGTGTGGCTGTGTGTGCTGCTCCCTTTCCACAGAGATAGCTGCATTTCGTGCTCTTTTCAACTAGAACATTCTTTTCAGGCCACTTTTTTTTTAAAAAAAAAAATGCAGCTCCTGAGCAAGTCCTGCCACCTGATTTTGTGGTGTGTGCTACCTTATCTGCCCTGCCAAGAAGGTGGCCACTCATCCTGCATCACCAGGTCTCAAGTCCTTTGTCAGAGATCCTGAAGGACGTGGGTAGCAGGCAGGGCAGCTTCTCTGACTGGTCCCTGCTTGGCTTCTGTGAAGGCTCTGCTCACACTGCCTGCTCCCCATGTCACTAGCAGACTCTGCACACACTACCCACTATGGCTTCTGTCTCCTGTCCTCCAGGTAGCCAGCACTGTGAACAGTGCTGCTCTCCTGCCCAGGTTCACCACCTGACACCCCGGAAGGCAAAGGCCTGGGCCCACTCTATGCTTTTGCCAGTGTCTGTATCCATATGGTCACCCATTGACGCTCAGTGGCTGTTTGCCAAATGAGAGATTGGAGACGGGAAGAGTAAAATGGGGAGAAGTTGAGGGCTGGAAGGAGAGGCAAACGTCAGGAGTGAACTGCAGACCAGAAGCTGGGTAAAGGCCTTCTTCTTGCAGGGCAGGAAGCCTGTCTGGCACCCCTTTGCAACTTAAAATGGGTGTAGTCTCAGTTTGTGCATCTTGTTTTGTGTATCTACCATTGTGAATGAACTCCCTGGAGGCGGGAGTTATGTCTGTCTTGTTCACCACTGTACCCTCAGAGCAGGCACAGTGCCACCTGGCATGCACAAGAGATCCAGATCGTGTTTGCAATAAATGAAAGGAGGCTGAGAGACCCAGAAGAATACAGAACTGACAGGCACCTGATTGGCACTTGGGCCAGTTTGGGCTCAGGATGGAAGTTCTTTGGGAGGATCTGCATTCTTACTGCAGGGGCACAAATGGGGTACAAAGGCTGGGAAGAGCAGGCAGCCCCAAATATTTGGGGGAGGCAGCATCACTGGCGAGGAAGGCAGCACAGTAACTGTCTAGATGTCAACGAACAAGTCAGTAAGAGTGGAGTGGGGGAGGTTAAGTCAAGATAAATCTGATCATGTACTATACCCAGCATCCAGAAGGCAGAGACAGAAGAATCTCTGTGAGTCTGAGTTGGTCTGGTCTACATAGAGTTCCAGGCCAGCCAGATAGGACTACATGGAGAGACCCTGGTTGGAGCCCACAGATGTGTATTTGTTCCCTCTTGACCAAAGGTCAGAGTTCAGTCCTATTCTTTCTCCTTCAAGGTTACTGAGAGGCGGTTTGACCCAGGGTGTGGCTACTAACGGGTTGTTTTGACCTAGGGTGTGGTTACTTGATGCTCTGGGTATTGAGAAGGTGGTGACTTTGTTTGTTCCTTGCTTCTTGGTAAAGAAGTCTTTTGTCTTCCCCCTCCTCTTTGAGTTGGGGTCTAGAAAGCCTATAAGAAACAAACACAGACGGATTCAGTACTCACTAGGTTGCCCTCCTGACTCTGTCCTGTGTCTCTGTCTATTTCGTTTGTGTCTTTGTTTCCTAACATCTCTAATCCACATGCCCCTGCCCTGGAACAACGTACGAACCTGTCGAGGCTGGACCCCAACAGACCCTATTTAAAAAAAAAAAATAGTATAACTAGATGGTTGGGTACAGAGAACACTACAAACTGTTGAGTGCTGAGGCCAGTTGGGAGGTAATGGTTGGAGGTAGAGGAGCAAAGAACCATGTCCCTGAGGTCAGAGGTGGTACTTCCAGGACACTTCCTGGCTGGACAAACTCAAGGAAAAAGCCATCAAAGGAAAGGAAGACCAAGCTGTTGAACAAGGACAGGTGGGCATTGACAGAAAGCGAGGACTGTAAAAGAGGAAGTAGCCACTTACTGGCCTAACAACAGAGGTTGTAGACTGACCCGGGAACCTGAACGGCAGGGCGGGTGCTCACCACTGTTCAGTAGCTTGCTGTCTGCCCCAACAAGACTTTCATGACTTTCAAGACTCCATGAAGCTTCGTTAGTGACAGGCTCAATTGCCTACAAGCCCATCAATTCCTTCCGAGGTGCAAAGCTCCCCGATTCTTACCTAGGCTAGAGCCACTCAGCTAAAGCTACACGCCCTCACTCCCTTTGCAACTAGGCAACCCCATGTTTGGGGTGGCGCAGCTTCTGGGTCTCACTCAGAAGAAAAAACAAGGTTTCCCAGCCTCTTCACTCCGTTCCCAGGAACGTGCACTCAAGAAATGGCTTCTACCTCCCATCCTGGGACTGTAACCAGAACCCCGGGTGACAAAGAAGCCAGGAAGAGGGGAAGCCACAATGTGCACAGTCCAGTCACTGCTAGCTGCACTTTTCACAGGAAGCAGATGCTTCATTTCCATGTGGAGGGTGTATCTGTGTGACGCTTGTGTGTCTGTGTTTGTGTGGAGGGGCATACATATATGTATATATTCATGTGTGTGTGTGTATGTCATGTTTGAGGACAGGGTCTATATATTCCAGAATGGCCTGCCAGGCTGGGGCCGTGTCCAATTTCTCTTCCCACCAGTGAGCCAATCAGTGTGTGGATGTGTGATGGAATCACTGAGTACATGGTACCAGTGCTGGTTGGACAGAATCACCAACCACTAAGGGAAACAGCAAGGACTGTGGAGCAGAAGGCCCGAGTACCACTACAGGGACTGAGCAGGGCAGGTCCGTGTCCTCAGCTGCAAACCCTAAGAACATTTGCTTTATGTGAGGACTGGAGAGATGGCTCAGTGGTTAAGAACACTGACAGCTCTTCCAGAGGTCATAAATTCAATTCCCAGCAACTGTATCATGGCTCTTAGCCATTTATAGTGGGGTTTTGATGCCCTCTTCTGGCATGCAGGTGTACCTGCAGATGGAACATCATATACATAAAGTAAATAAATATCTTTTAAAAAAAAAGTCTATGAGAGTTCATGAGTTAGCATATGGCTAGCAAGAGTCTTAGCTTTTATTGAGATGAGAGTGTAGTTCAGTGAAGGGCCCCGGGGCCCCCCCCCCCCCCCCCACACACACACGTGAGAAAAACAGATAACTAGAACTGAATACACCTCTTGACTTCAGGGCCAGCCTCGTCCACATCGTAAGAAGGAGCCCAACCAGGGTTGCTACACAAAAGAAAGGGGTAGAGGGCTGGAGAGATGGCTCAGAGGTTAAGAGCATTGTCTGCTCTTCCAAAGGTCCTGAGTTCAATTCCCAACAACCACATGGTATTATGAATTTGATTAGACTTTTCATAAATCACTTTATTTTTCCCTCTATGACTCTCCCAACTTATAAAAAATAGAAATCTATAGATAAACATTGAGAATTATACACTTCAACACATCGCCACTAGGGTCATCTCTGTTCTAAGAACAATCACAGCGATGCAGTTCCACGGTCAAGGGCAGCAAGAGCCCCCCTCAGCTCACACAACACGCTCCACAGGCTTGGCTTCAGACAATGACATGGTGCAGAAGTACACAGACGCGCTGGCTAGAAGCATCAGGAACAGCAAGGGGTGGCAGCTCCTGTTAGACCCTGGACTGACTGGGCCATGAGCTGCCAACTGCATCACAAGCTCTCAGAATCCACACAGCCCGGTCTTCTTGTTCTGACCAGGAAGTTCTGAGTAACCATGAAAATACTCCTGTTTGGACCAGAGCCAAAAAGGCTCATTTTTCTCACCACCTCTTGTTCTTTCTTCAATTCCAGACACAGAATTTTTTGTTTGTTTTGTTTTTTCTCCTCCAAGGCAAAGGGACCAAAGGTTCTAGAGAACAGCAAGTTCTCACCCCTGCCAAGTTACTGGAAGCCAGGCACGGGGGTTCACGCCGTAATCACAGCATGTGGCAGGAGGATCACTGAGCCTGGCATACAGTGATTTCTGGGATAGCCTGGGCTACAGAGTGAGCTCCTGTCTCAAAAACACGTGGCACGGGGTGAGAGAGTAAGAAAGAGGAGGAGAAGCAGCAGCCAAGGTGGAGTACAGAGAGAGTACACGTGGGCTCAGCACTCCAATCCAAGGATGACTTATCCACTTTAGGTCAATTTCCATGTGCCCCTGCCACTCTTCCTTGGATTTGGTTTTTCAATTCCTCTTTTCAAAACAAGCCAAAGATAACAACTTTCCCAGTATCTTCCTTGAGGCATCATGTTGCATGATTAGTGGGAAAGTGAGGGAATGGTGTCTTCTCTCCAGGGGTGGGAGTGGGCGGATTCAGACTTGCTTCTTGACAGGTGCATGGACTCAGCAGGACTCTGAACCCACTCCCTCCAGCGAGTGGGAACGTGGCTTTCCACCATCAGCTGGATTTCTCAGCTAAGCCTAGCCCTCAGAACAAGTCCCACCCTCAGATGCTAAGCTCTCTCCCTGGTGCTTAAAATCCATGGCTCCTTTATCAAGTCTTGGGAGAACTAACTCTATCCTTCCCAAAAGGGTGATCCGAGGCACACGTTCCAAGGGAGGTGACCCCCACTGTGGTCAGCTTTAATCAAATGCTGGTCAGAGATTCAAGGCTACTCTGATGGTCACTGTCATTATCTTTATTAGCCCACGTACTCCTAGCTCCTGCCAGCCCCAGTTCAGAGCTGCAGCATGGGTCTGTTTCCAACATGATGAGGGACAGAAAGTCACTGACTACCAGCTCAGCAGGGAGCTTGGGGCCCAGGTGTAAAGCGAAGTGAGAATGATGTTCTGGGCTGTAAATCAATGCCATGATTCTTGTAGATCAACGAAGGGGATCCAGGTGGTCTGGAAGATACACTTGGCAGTCTTCCCGGCAGGGCACAGAACAGTGGACCCTTTCCTTCCTAACAATTTCCCTGGCCCTCCAGGTTTCAAAGGAATCAAGTCCTGTGATGAATTAATGAAGTCACCAGCAGACTCTGGCCTGTTTGCATAGAGGGTTGCCTTCATGGAAGGCTACTGCTAAAAAGACACACCCCAGGCAAGGCCAAAAGGGTGCCACCTTCTTCTTCCCTCTGATCTCAGGCCCCAGGAAAGCGGTGTCCTCTCACTTACAGGGCAGCTTCCTTCTCAGCTCACGAGAGGGACCTAGAGAGAAGAAGAACCAGAGAGCCTGCCCCGGGGCCCCTCTCTCTCTCCCAGGGGAGCGCAGCTCTGGGCTCACAGGGTTGCCTTGCACAGGCACTGAAGTGCAGCGGGTGCACGTGGGAGCTGAGGAGAGAGGCAGAGGAAGATGACTCCCTCTTACCCTAGGAGTGCTCGCCAAGCTCACGCCCACAGGTGAGCCTATTCCTACCAAGGAGCAGGCAAGCAGACTGGAGCAGGCTCCGGACCCCAGCCTCCAACTCACTTCTTCCTGCGGATCTTGGGCTTCTTCACAGGGCGCAGATACGGGTTATCAATGATGCTCTCCTCCCCGTTCCGGCTGCCAGACAAGGAGGAGTTCTGCTGCAGGACAGAAGCGTTTTCCTTCTCAGCTCCGGAGCCATCCTTTGAGCAAAAGCCGAAATAGAGCAAAGCACCAGTGGCATGAGGAGGAGACTGCGCCCACAGCAAGAGCAAGGAGAAGCGGAGCCACTGTCTTTCCAGGGTGGCCATCTCTGCCCCAGGCTCAATGGGACCTGGGCAGTGGCGGGCTCTACAGGGAGCTGACAAAGTGGGACACTCCAGGGTCCTGACTCTTCAGAAGGTGGGGCATGAGATAATGGAGGCCTGGGAGTGAGGGTTAGAATTTACACGCTGCAGGGAGGAAGCCTAACCCGATGGAGTAACAGAAGGAAGTGACCGTCGGTACCATGGAGTAAGAGACACAGCCAAAACAAACCAGGGCACAGGAGAGCTCTCCTAGGCCCAAAATAACATAAGTCCCAACACATTTCTCCAAAATCTCTCATTTCTGGCACTTAGAACAAGGGACCAATGACTGTATCCCAGCATATTCCAGAAGTGAAGGCAAAGCAGAGTCTGCAAATCCCACATGTCAATGAGGCCTGTAACCTGTCAAACAGGCTCTTTATTGGTGTCCTGGATGTATGGGTAATTGATTCTCCTTTCCTTATTAATACTTGTACTCTCTTTTACTTTCCATACTCTTTGCCTTTAATTTATTTTTGTACTTCTTTAAAGCGAGCAGTGGCAGCAGGGTCAGGACATGAAATTTCACACCAAAAATCTGATGTGGCCATGCAGGCCTAGCAACCAAGAGCTGAACCGACAACGCCCCCGGTGACATGCCAAGGGTTCCCTGGAGGAACTGAGAGCCTCAGACCCCAACAGCAGTGGCTGCTGTCGCTGTGACACTGTGAGCAGAGGCTCCTCTCAGGGGATAGTTGGCCTCAGGCTTACTGGGCCTGAGGACTCTCGGTGGCTTCTAGAGGTTTTGCTACATATCCATACCACCCCATTAACTCTGTTCTCCCCCAAAAGCCATTTTCCTGTAGAACACGTGTGCTTCATTCCTCCCCCACTCACACTAAACCCAATGAGTGGACCTACAGCCACCAGAGAGTCCCTCTTCAAAACAACTGCCACAAGACCAGCAGGAGGGAGTCTGTGCGGACACCCAGCTCCTGGCCTGCCTCAGTTCTTTTTGTTTTGTTTGGTTTTGTTTCTCGAGACAGGGATTCTCTGTGTAACAGTCCTGGCTGTCCTGGAACTCATTCTATAAACCAGGCTGGCCTTGAACTCACAGAGATCCTCCTGCCTCGGCCTCCCTGAGTGCTGGGACTGAAGGCGTTGCCTCAGTTCTTAAGGGTGTAACAGAGTCTCACCTATCATTCCCTTCATCTACCACTGCTCCACATCCAAACTCCACCAATGCTCAGAGGTCACTTAGACTGTGCCTTACACACGTCCTCAGGTAACAGTGAGGGTGGTGTGAAGGGCTGAAGGGTTGGCTCCAGCTCCCACAAAGGCAGGATGCTGGACGGCTGTGGAAATGCTATACTCTGGTCCCCTTTAGGTAGCTCTGAGACAGGAAGTAAAGCATCAACTGACTTAACTACTTGTAGAAAAAGTGAGGGGTTTGTCACGAGTTCCTTGGGCACTTGGGCAAGGCTGGAGGACACCAACAACTCTGTCTCACAACTGTCCATTCCACTTCTAAGCCAACATCTCCAAGTCCGACTCCGAGAACCATGTCCTCTCTCACTGCCAGCTCCCTGTTCACTCCCAGCTGCTTGCTTGACAGTATCATAGAAGCAAGCATCCCACAGGTACCTCATACTCAATGTGCCTCAGCTTCCTCGGGCACCCTACCCCTAGTCCTCCCTTTGTGGTGACAACGTTACCATCCTTCAGGTGCTTGAGCAGTGAGTTCTGCAATCCCACCTGCTTCTTTTCTGTCACTCAATTCTCATCTGTCAGAGCATCCTCTTGGCTTTACCTATCAATGCAACCAGACCATTTCCACTTTCCCTGATGTGCATACCTGACCCCCATTTATCCCTGGCCTACATCGCTGTGGCAGCTTCCTAACAGAGCAGCATTCCCTCAGGCTCGGCCGCACCACAGCCACTGGTGATGCTTCCACAAGTTCAGAAATGTCCCTCCTTGGCTCCACGCCCGCCTGCAACTTGTCTCACCCAGCTCTGGAAACAGTTGGTCCCATTAGATTGACCCTTCCTCTCCCTTCTCTGCCCTGACTCTCCATCCCAAATGCTGGTGTTTCTCAGGTCCTCTGCACCAGTCGTTACTTCTACAAGGACCCTCTTGCCCAGAGAGTGGCATAGCTCCCCTCCCCTCTCCGCCTCTTGTCCCTCGCATGGTGGTCCACCTTGAGTGTGCTACTACTGAGAAGCAAAGCCTCCATCTCACCAGGTACTGCTCTGCCCATGGCGCTTTCATCTTGAATACTCTGAGTGATGACTTCACAGATCAGGTTTAATTCCTTCTCCCACTGCACATCCTGGCTCTCAAAGGCAGAGATTTTATCTATGGGTCTCTGCTTTCCTCTCTGCAGCCAGAATAGTGTCTGACAATGGTCACTGCAAAACGGGTGCTCACTGAGTGGATGATTGGTGCGGTTTCTCATCCAGGAGTAAAAGTTAAACTTCTGGTTGCACCAGAGCGCTAGTTCAAATGTAAGAGAGAACAAAAGACAATTAACCACTCTAAAACTCCTTTATGTTTAAGGACCTGGAAAAAGGGGCCAGGGTTAAAGTGCCCCACAGCAAGAGTCCCTGAGAGACACACTGTCATCAGGAGATGACAGTGCAGTTTAAAACTGGTCACGGAGGGAAGCGTGATTGTGTGTCCTGCTACAATCCCAGTACCTTGCAGGGATTGCCCAATCTTAACACATGATTACATTTTGCAGGCCACCAGAATATAACAAGTCCAAATAACTGTCTTTTTTTTAAAAAAAAATATACTTTGTATATAATAGTGTATGGCTGTATGGCTGTACAGCCTGAAACAGCAGAGGGGTACGAGTTAGCCTGCTCTGTTAGCTTGCTCCACCTCAGGCTGGCCTTACAGATGCTATGCCCAATGCCTGGAAACTTCACCCTGAGCCACATTCAGGCATTAGTCTCTTCAGGTCTTGACTCAAATGTCACCTTCTAATTCTTCCACCCCTTCCACAGCTCTACCCTGAACCTTTAGCCCCTGAGTGCGGGGCTTTGTTAGTCAGGGTCTGGACCTGCAGCGCTCGCAACATTTGCTACACGGGCGAGTCCGAGGATATGTCTCTCAGGTAGAGACTGGTCACACAGGCCCATCATGCAAGCTTCTAACAGACAGCCAAAGACCTGGGACAGACCTAGGGGCAGTTCAGTTCACAGGGGCAGGGGCCTAGTGTAGGGTAGGCTGTTTCGGGGGTACTGTGAAGCAGCAGAAAGGGTGAACCCACCGTGCTGATATGAAGAGCGATGTTCTCTGTGTCTGTCTGCTCATCCTGTTCCGAGGAGTCTGTCTCTTCCATCTGCTGGATCTCCAGCTCAGAGGGAAGCAAGGCTGTGAGGTAGGGGATGGTGAAAGGTCTGGCAGCAATCACTGGGAATTGGAAGAGAGAGACATGACTCTGTCGAGCAGCCAGAGGGAGCCAGGTATGAATGCTGCCCACTGACCATGACCTCGAGCTAGTTAATTCCCCTTTCCCACAAGCCTCTACGTTCTGCAAAGGCAAAGCTAAGGATTGCTAACTCACAGGCCTAGATGGGCTGCCTGAGGTGATGTGTGGGAAATGATTAGCAGCTGGTGGCCTCCAGCCACGATGACTGCAGAGCCAGGCACAGAGCAGGCACCGAGTGGAAGCTTACTGAATGACTAGACCAAGCTCCCCATTCACCTCTGCATAACCCGAGGTCCCCTATGGAGATGACTGACTTGGTCAACAAAGCCTAAATGAGATGTAACCCAAGAAAGGAAGCCGTGAGACAACAGGCTGCAGATGTCAGTGTCCCTCCTACCAGCTGGTCTATCACTTCTACAGGAGACTCGGCTGCCCAGGGCTCAGCCACCAGTGAGGTAACCTAAACTCACTGCCTTGAGCAGCCAACACTTCGGAATAGTATTTTGGGGCCTAGAGGAAGGATCCAGAGATCTGCAGAATAAACCACACTAGAGAAAAACACGAAGGCTCACTCATCTCTCCCCACCATAGAGAAAAAGGAAAGAGGGTGTGATTATCTCAAACAACAAAACAGGGCTCCCACAGGGGATGACTCTCACAGGGGAAAGTGCTGACGTCATCCTTGAAAAGACTCTGGGTCTCGCCCGTCTTGGCCATGAACCGGGTGAGGGCTCGCTCCACGTCTCGCCTCTGAGATGCAGCTTTCTCTCGCAGGACCTGGTAGTCAGACACTGGTTCACGGTATGTCTAGAACAACAGAGACACCAGGCTGAGCCTATGACGCCTTCAATCTCCTCAGGCCCTGTCTTGCTGCAGCTGTGTCCTTCTGAGAACACGACCTGCTAACTAACAAGAGTGAAGCTATGTGAAGAGCAGCATCCGGGAGAAAGCAGAGCGAGCATCTCAGCTAGCAAAAGTGCAAATGTTTACCACAGAGTTCACCATGGCAGCCAGCCATAGGTGTAAGACAGAGATCCTCAAGGAAGACTAGGAGCCCCAAGAAGTTCTGTTCCACCAGAGTAACTTGGCATCCTGCAGTTTATGAGCGGCGGCATTTGCACACTGTTCCATCCTGTTGTTTTCAACCCAACCTCTCCAAACTGACGCACTGGTACAAAAGTGAGAATTACAGACTACTGGTGTGGTGGCACGTGCCTTTAATTTAATCACCTGTGAGGCAGACAGAGGCAGATCGCAGTGAGGTCAAGGCCAGTCTGGTCTAACAAAGGTGAGGGAGGGAAGAAGGGAGAGAGAGGGAGAGAAGGATGGAGGGAGGTGGAGGGAGAAAGAAGAGAGGAAAGGAGGGAGGGGGTAGGAGGAAAATGAAGCAAAGACTTGGGGGAGGGCGGCCCTGCAGACAGTGGCGTTCATCAAGCCTGACAACCTGAGCCCCATCCTTGGAACCATGTGGCATAAAGGTGAAGCAACTCTCTCATGTTCTCTGATCTCCATACAGCCCTGCACACCATACACACACTGTGGGTGACTGCCCGCCCTCACAGAGAAATTAAATAAATGTCATCTTTTAAAAAGGAAAGAAAAACAGACTAAGGCTGCTACTGTAAATACCACTGAGATGGCCAAGGACAGGCGACTCCTCCCAGTTGGTGCCTTGTTGACCATCTCTGGGGAAATGCTTGAGAACCCGTAAGAATGAGAAGACTGTCAAATGCCCTAAACTGTAATATCAGGGATGACATTTAACACTGACCAAAACAGCTCTTCATGACAGAAAGGCAGGTTTTTCCTTCTAAAGACTTCTCAAGGGCTGGAGAGTTGGCACAGAGGTTAAAAGCACTTTTGTTCTTATAAAGGACCTGGGTTCAAGTCCCAGCCCCACAGGGAGGCTCACCACTTTCTCAGGCACTAGGCATGTATGTGATACACAGACATACACACAGGCAAAAACCTCATATACACAAAATAAATCTAAAAATTAAAATAAAATAAAGTTTTTCAAAGATTGCCCTGGTGTGGGAGGTCCTTCTGTCTATGGGTTGCTTTTATTGGTTAATGAATAAAGAAACTGCTTTGAATCTATAGCAGGACAGAACTTAGGTAGGCGGGGAAGATGGAACTGAATGCTGGGACAAAGAAGGCAGAGTCAGAGAGATGCCATGGAGCCAAATCATTGCCGGTAAGCCACTGCCATGTGGTGATATACAGATTAATAGAAATGAGTTAAATTAATATAAGAGTTAGCCAATAAGAAGCTAGAGCAGATGGGCCAAGCAGTGTTTTAATTAATATAGTTTCTGCATAGTTATTTTGGTTCTGGGCGGCTGGGACAAACAAGTGGCCTCCTCCTCCATCCCCCCACCCCCAGTCTTCTAGTACTAGAATTATAAATATGTACCACCCCACCTGGCCTGAGTGGCTTGTTTTTAAGATGCATTTTATTGTGTATATGTTGGGGGCTGGGTATTCGCATTGCTTGTGCAGGTGTCTGAGGAGGTCAGAGGCATTGGATTCCCCCGGAGCTGGAGTTACACGGTTGTGAGACACCTACTGTAGGAGCTAGGAGCCACACTTGGGTCCTCCAGAAAAGCAGTATGTGTTCTTACCACTGAGCCATCTCTCTAGCCTCCCACAGAGCTTTAAAAGGAGGCACTTGTGAACATGATTACTGTTTTACAGTCCACTGAATTGTGTCATCTACAGTCTTCCTTCTATACCCACACATAGAAACGAGATTTCCTGACAAGTCTAAAATCATCCTAAAATGAAAATCAGATTTTGAATATGTGCATTAAAAACAGAATCTGGGGGCTGGAGAGATGGCTCAGAGGTTAAGAGCACTGGCTGCTCTTCCAGAGATCATGAGTTCAATTTCCAGCAACCACATGGTGGCTCACAACCATCCTTAATGAGATCTGGTGCCCTCTTCTGATTTGAAAGCAGACAACAGGCAGAATGACTACAAGTTCAAGGCCAGCCTCATCTATAGAATGAGTTTTAAGCCAGCCTATAATGAGTTTTAGGTCAGTCAGGGTTACAAAGTGACAGGCACCCTGACTCAAAGCAAAAAACCAACCAACCAAAATGTTGTAGTTATTTCAATGACATCTGACACTCAATAAGTTGAAATTTTAATTAATTGTTCTATCTATCTATCTATCATCTATTTATTTTGGGTTTTTTGAGGCAGGGTTTCTCTGTAGTTTTTGGTGCCTATCCTGGAACTAGCTCTTGTAGACCAGGCTAGCCTCGAACTCACAGAGATCCGCCTGCCTCTGCCTCCCGAGTGCTAGGATTAAAGGCGTGCGCCACCACCGCCCGGCTAAAAATTTAATTTTTAAATAAAAAACTTTTTATCTATTTTATGTGTGTGTGCTGGAGTACAACTTCTGGTTTTTATAATTAATTTATTTCTTAATTTTATCTTCATTGATGTTTTGCCTACATGTAGGCTTGTGTGAGAGTGCTGGGTCCCCTGGAACCAGAGTTATAGACAGCCATAAGCTGCCACGTGGGAGCTGGAAATTGAACCTGGGTCCTCTGGAAGAGCAGCCAGTGCTCTTAACCTCTGAGCCATCCCTCCAGTCCTAGGAGAACAACTTCTATAGGCTAGGCCAAGTGTTTTGCCACCAAACTATTACCCTAGACCCTAGCTTTGAAGATTTTATTTTATTTATTAATGTGTGGGTGAAGGCAGGAGAAGAAGGACTAGAGAAGGGGCGAGAGGGGGGGAATGCTCACATCCATGCCAGTACCTGTAGAGGCCAGAAGAGGATGGTAAATTCCCTGGAAGTCAAATGCCTAACATGGGTCCTGAGAATTGAACTCTTGTTGCTCTGAAAGAGCAGCAAGCACTCTTAAATGCTGAGCCACCTCTCCAACCCTGTTTTTGTTTGAGACATGGATTCACTAGCCCTGGCTGTCCTGGAATGCAATAGAGATCCTCCTGCCTCTGCCTCCCAAATGCTAGGAGTAAAGGCCTGTGTCAGCACACCTAGTCACAGGTTCTGAATGTAACTTTCTCAATGAGAAGCATTAAAGAATTTAAAGTGGCCAGGTGGCTTTAATTCCAGCACTTGGGAGACAGAGGAAGGAGGATCTCTATGAGTTCAGGGACAGTCAGGGCTGTTACACAGAAAAACCCTGCCCTCCCTCAAAAAAAAATAATTAAAGTAAACTGACCTAAAGATTGAACTTGTGATTTAATATCCTACACCAACATTTCAGAAAGAAAAGCAGAGACTACAGCAAGACTCAAAAGGTCACAAGTTTTCTTCTGAACTTTTTTTAAATAAGGGTGAGGTTATTTTTTTTTCTTTCTTTTTTTTTGTCAGCTGAGGTCAAGGTTATTTTTTAATGTATGTCATTTGTAGCAGGCTAAGTGATAATATTCATATGTACAGCATTTGATGCGGGTGTAATGAGACACTTGTTATCTCAGCACTTCAGAAGGAGAGGCAGAAGGTCCTGGAATTTGAAGTCATCTTTAACTACATACTGAGTTGTAGGCCATACTGAGTTGTAGGCCAACCTGAGACTCAGTCTTAGAAATCAACCCTGAAAGGAGCTGCTTACATTACTTTATCGCCAGGATGCACTAACATACTACAAAAGGGGCATGAGCACTAGGAACAGAACTGTATTCCCATAAAAACGTTTAGATATAGTCAACTCCTAACTTCTGGCATCTCAGATGACCTAATTTGGCAACAAGTCACCAAAGATGTCATCAATTAGAACGAAGTCATGAAGGACAAATGATGTCTTAAGGGAAGACAAAGTATGTTAAACTGTAGAGGTAGAAAGTCAGCACCACGTAGAGACAGGCAGACGGGAGTGACACAGGAGAAACGCTGGCATGTCCTTGGCTAGGGCATGGTGAATAGCTTCCCTTGCAGGTTTAGAGGGAGCGTGGCCCTGATAACACCTTAGTTTTGAACTTCTGACACCTAGGCCTATGAAGTACTATATTTTTATGGCTCTGAGTCATCTACTTTGTAGCACTTTGTCATAGCAGCCCCAGGACACTGAGAGACTGCAGTCCAGAGCAACAGCAGCTCAGTCTGTAGCCCAGGCTGGCCTCACACTCATGGCAACCCTTCTGCCACAGGCTTCCAGTGCTGGGATTCCAGGGCTGAGCCACCATGTCCAATAACAAGGTTGCTTCTCTCTAGGGAAAGTCGCTTGAGAACTGAATGGCACTTCCACCAGCAACTTTTCATCAACTGCATTTACATCACTCACAGCCCCTGGTGGCTCCACCACTCACCGGAGTTTTGATGTAGGTGTGGGGATCCGGAAACTCAGGAAAATGGCTGGGGATGTGCGGTGGGTGGGGTCGGTTCTGCCCTGCAGTGAGGGCCTTGGGTGTCACTGGCTGATTGGTCACCGGAGCTGCAACAGAATCACAATTGGTTACTTCTCCAACCCCTGCATTCTACAGACAACAGTCCCTGTCCAAACCCCCTCCTGTCACTGGAACATGACTAAGCACCTTGTTCTTCACTGATAAAAGGCCTTCCATAACCCTTTCAGATCAGCACACAATGACCTGCCCTGCCAGGTAATCTTGCTTGATATTTCAATCTGTGACAATCTGCCTGTAAGCCCCTTGCATCAACAGAAGAGTGGCGGTCACCAAAGCCACTACATAAAAGAACATGCTGAAGTTCATTAAGGGCATTCAATAGGCTGCTGGCTATCTTTCCAGAGACCATGAGGGCACTAGGAACAGTGTTCAGTGCAGCATTTACTCAGCATGCAGGAGGCCCTGAGGTCCAATCCCCAGCACACACACACTGTTCAGAGACCCCAAATAATAAATACTGAGCTGGAGGAAGTATGGGCTTAACAATTATAGGACGGGAAGGAAAATGCTGCTTTCCATTGCTTCTCTCCAATGCAGGTGGCAAGATGGTTCAGTGGGGAAAGATGCCTGCGACCAAGTCAATCGCCAGGACCCACAGGGTGGAGAGAGACAGCCTCACAAAGTATCCTCTGACAGTCACATGCACACACACAGTAAACAGATGCAGTAGCTAAAAAGATGCCAATGCAAAAAAGTAACTTTAAAAGACAAATACAGCAATTCACCCCAAGTCCTAAAGCCTAAAGGGGTTACTCCTTACTTAGCTTAAGGGGCCTAATTATCTAAAGTAGAATTAACCTTTTCAACAGGGATACATTAGACATAGTTTAGACTTCTTTTGTTTGCTTGTTTGTTTGTTTTTGTTTTTAAATTATTTGTTTATTTGTTATGTATATAGTATTCTGTCTGTGTGTATGTCTGCAGGCCAGGAGAGGGCACCAGACCTCATTACAGATGGTTGTGAATCACCATGTGGTTGCTGGGAATTGAACTCAGGACCCTTGGAAGAGCAGACAATGCTCTTAACCGCTGAGACATCTCTCCAGTCCTGTTTGCTTGTTTTTTGAGCCAGTGTCCTGCCTGTGTAGCTCAGGCCAGCTTAGCCCTCATTATGCATTCCCAGTGCACTAGAGATCTAGAGCACCCCTCACCCTCACGAGTAGTCACCCAAGGCAACAGTTCGGATGGTGCAAGCCACATGCTGCCTTGAAAACATGAAAGCAATGACAGGTAAGTGGGTACAGCTGCACGCCAATGGAACTTTATTCACAAAAGCAAGCAGTGGACCACATTTTGCCCACAGACCATAGTTTGCCAACTCTGACCTACAGAAGTAAGCGCTTTTACAGTCTTCTCCTATCACATTTGCTCTTCAGGGCTGCAGCACAACAGCAGGAGCTCAGACATGGTTTAGCTGTGTGGAGACGAAGCTTCACACTGTAATCCCACTGCCCAGGTCAAATCAGGCTGTGGCTAGTTAACCCCTCCCAAAGACTGGAAGGGAGCCTGAAACAAGAACAGCTTCACTCTGAGGTCTGCCCTGCTCTCCAGCTGAGTCACACCTAAGTGCCTGGGTTCAAAAGCCACTTACGTGCAGTGATGACCATCCTCTGAGACCGTTTTGCATAAGCAGGAAGAGTGTCCACGTTGAACCCTAGGGACAAGAAAGCCAATCACTGCCTAAGCTTGTGAATACAAAAGGGGTGTTCACAATGAAGAAAGGGGGCTTAAGCTCCCAATTTAGCCACTATTCTGCCCCTTAAAAGAAGCTACAGCAGAGTCCCCCAACAAGGACTTAGGGGTCTCTGAGATCGGTTAAAGGGTCCCTTCCTCTTAACTTCCTAAGCTAAAAGCAGATCAAGGGAAACAGAAGGGAATCCATGAACACTCAGCAGACACCGCAACCGCCAGGCTTTCCCCTCCTCCCTAGTGGCCCCAACTCAGAGATGAGAAAGCAGGAGATACTGGAGATGTACTCACCCATTTCAACCAGTGTGACCACGATATCTGACAGTGTGGGCTGGGTCCTGGCTGTGTGCTCGCAGTAAGACTTGGCACTTCTCCCGATTTCTGAGATGTCTACAAGGGTCAAAGGCCACAGTTCCTCCCAAATTCAACATAGAGTGACCAGTGAGTCACAGTTCTACTCTACATATACACCCCATGAGCAAAGGCAGGGTTCACACAGGCACTGTGTACACTCACACACGGCAGTCCAATTCTCAACAGTCAGAAGGTGGGAAGGAGTCTCTCCACTGACAATGAGTGGATAAACCAGCTGGGGCAAACACATCACACGGAGCACTGATGTTTGTTCTGACAGGTTTCCATACGGCCTCAGACTCCATGGGAGCAGAAACTAGACCTGGCCAGCTGTTCTGGCCTCTCCCTCCCAAGGGCTAGGGTTATAGTGTGCCCAACCTATCCAGTTCTACAGCAGAGTATGTGTTCAGCCCTCAAAAGGGATGAAATCTATAACATGGATAAACTTCGAAGCACTATATTAAGTCAAATAAGCCAGGCACAAAAATGGCAAATATCTTCAGATTCCATTTATCTGAAGTAAAGAAAAAAAGCAAATAAAAAGCAAAATCAAAATGGCTCAATGGTAAAGGTGTTTACTGCCAACAACTGGAGTTCCATCCCTGGGTCTCACAGGATGGAAGGAGCAAACTGATTCCCACAAGTTATCCTATGACCTCCATATGTGTGCTATGGCAAGCATACAGTCCCCACCATACACACAACTAATAAGAGTAACTTTTAAAAGGATGTGATACACACACACACACACACACACATGTGGTGGTTTGAAAGAAAATGGCTCCCAAATGGAGTGGCACTATTAGGTGTGACTTTGTTGGGGTAGGAATGGCCTTGTTGGAGGAAGAGTGTCACTGTGGGGTGGACTTTGAGGTCTCCTATGCTCAAGCAAATCCCAGTGTCACAGTCCATGTCCTGTGCCTGCATTATCGAGACGTAGCCAGCACCATCATGTCTGCCTGCATGCCATCATGCTCCCAGCCACGACCCTAACGGACTGAACCTCTGAAACTGTAAGTGACCCCAATTAAATGTTTTCCTTTAAAAGAGTTGCCGTGGTACAGCACTGTGAGTGCGTGCTTACTGTCAATGATTAAAACGACAATATTGCTACATATCTCTTCCCACACAGACAAACATCAAAACAAACAGGCCTTATGCTACAATGGACAATTTTTTTCTTCTGTCTGAAGGTAAGCCTCAGTCTTCCAGGAAAAGGGGGGCAGCATCTAGGATAAGAGTTTCTGAAGCTGCTCCACAAACGAGAAGGAAGGCACAGTATTTCTCGGTACTCACAACTCTGCAGCATCTCTGTCAGTGTTTCCACGGATGCTTTCTCCGCGCTCTCAAATCCCGCCTCTGTCAGCAAGGAACTCACAACCACTTGCAGAGTCCTCCTCCGGGCCAGGTGGTAGTTATCAGCAGGGTTAGTGGACTGCTTACTTCCTGGTCTCTGGGAAGCAGAAGCCCACAGAGAGGAGACTTCTTACCACTAGGCCAGGATGAAAGCAGAGTTCACACACCATCCATGGCAAACAGAAGTGTCACTGCGTAGTTCCCTCGGGCTGGCCTGTGGCTGGAAGTGTAGCCTGGGACCACACTGCCATCCTCTAATTCCACCTCCTAAGCATACAAATTACAGGCATGGAGCAACCGTTGCCTAGCTGGCAAAGGTTCTCTTGCTAAATATTTATCGGTGTTTAATACTTAGAATTACAGACCTCACGAAGTGAGTAATAACTGAGCATCCAAATCCAGAGGCTTCCAATAAGATAAACACTACTTGCTCAAAAAAAAAAATTACGTGTAGATGTGTGTGTGGTGTGTGTGTGTGTGTATGTTCATGTGAGTTTCCGGAAGCCTGGAGAGTGTCAGATTCCATTAAGCTGAAGTTACAGGTGGTTGCGAATCGACCCACCGAACTCAAGTGTTCTGGAAGAGTACCTGCAGGTCTTAATCACTAAGCCATTTCTCCAGCCCCTTCACTTCTTTCTAGAGCAAATTATCAGAGTATACACACAAGCCGGGTAGTGGTGGTGCACACCTTTAATGCCAGCACTCGGGAGGCAGAAGCAGGAGGCTCTGTGTGTCTGCCTAGTCTACATCTACAGAACGAATTCCAGGTAGCCAGGGCTGTTCCACAGAGACCCCCCCCCCCCGGCCCCCCCCCCCCCCCCCGGAGGGGAAGAGACCAAAAAAAGGACTATATACACGAATTATGAGATTGGACGAATAAATCTACTGTCTTTTGTTCCATCCACACCACATCATTAACACGGAAAATGAAAACGGTAGCAACACGGGACGCAGAAGAGGGCTGAAGTAATCTCAAAGAAAGGCGAGGAAGGTAAATATTTTGAAAAGGAACCCCCTTCCAACTTTGCTGGCCAGTAAGAGGATGAAAACAGCCTCTTCAGACCAATCAAAAGGCGTTCCGGGTTCCCACCCTCACCAGGGAATAAGCCAATCACGTCTCAGGTGCGCCAATTTAGGAGGCCGCCGCCAAGTCTCAAGCACCGGGGGAGGCATTTGGCCAGGAAGACTTTCCAACCATCGGATGTCAGGATGGGTTTGGGTTTCTGGGTCCGAGATTGTGGCCCAAACCATGGAAAAGATCCAGAAGATCCAAATCCTCTCGACTTTACGCCGCGCCTCCCCACCCTTACCGTTCCGGAGCCACCAGGCCCGGCCGCCGCGTCGGCCATCTTGCTCTGGCGTATTGCGCGTGAGCGCGGGGCACGATGGGACTTGTAGTTGGGGGTGGGAAGGTGGCGAAGGGCGGGGCCACAGGTGCCCCGCCTCGCGGAAAAGCTCTAAGAAATGTGGGGGACGGGAAGGGATAGGTCGGACCACCCCAGCTCATGTGACTGTGTGTGAGCCAAGCTTTCCTGGACCTTTCAGCGCTATGGCAATGGCTCTGGAAAACACTCTGTGGGTTACACCAAGTTAAAAGGAACCTTTTTTGGCTAAAAGCTCGCCATCTATAATCCTACCACTTTGAGACTGAGCCTGAGGATCGGGAGTTCGAGGCTGTTTGGGACTACATAAGGAGACCTTCCCTGTCAGAAAAATAAGTAGATAGATAGTAAAAAGAAAGCTGTTGGTATGAAATAATTTCTCATAAAAAAATACACTTTTGTTATGTTTTCTCCCCCGAGATTGGGTTTCTCTGTGTAGTTTTGGAGCCTTTTCTGGCACTAGCTCTGTAGACAAGGCTGGTTTTGAACCCACAGAGATTCACCTGCCTCTGCCACCGGAGTGCTGGGATTAAAGGCCTGCACCACCACCATTCGACTAAGAATACACTTAAGAATGCACTTTTGAGGGCTGGAGAGATGACTTGGCCACTAAGAGCACTGACTGTTCTTCCAGAGGACCTTGGTTCAATTCCCAGCACTCACGTGGTTGCTCACAACTGTCTGTAACTCTACCTCCAGGGTATCTGACACCCTCACACAGACATACAGGTAGGTAAAATACCAAAGCACATAAGATAAAAATAAATCATTGAAAAAAAAAAGAATGCACTTTTGGGCTGGAGAGATGGCTCAATAGTTAAGAGCACACACTGCTGTTGGGGAGAATCAGAGTTCAAAATCTTAGCGCCCATGTTGAGTGGCTCACAACTGCCTGTGGCTTCAGCTCCAAGGTGATCTGATATCCTCTTCTGGCGTTTGGGGGGTATTCACTTGTACAAACACACACACACACACACACACACACAAATACAATAATAAAATTAAGTGCTTTTCTTAAAAATGCATGCATTTATTTTATGTGTATGACCATTTTGCCTGCATGTATCTCTGTGAACCCCTTGCATGCCTGGTGCCAGAGAAGGCCAAAAAAGGACTTTGCATAGCCTAGAACTGGAGTTGCAGACTACTGTGAGCTGCCAGGTAGGTGCTGGGAATTGAATCTGATGTATTTTAACTGCTGCAACATCTCTCCAGTCCTTAAAGGAACGTCTGAAAAGGCACTCTAGAGGCTGAATGCATTAGCAGGGCTTTCTCAGTTTGGCTGATGTTTTAGCTAGCTGGGCCAGCCCAATCCCAGGGACCTCACTCTCTCAGAGAGGACCTTCATACTGGTTGTTTTGTGTGAGCCTGTGTTGCATGTGGCCTGGCTGGTCTCAGACTTGCTACATAGCCTAGGATGACTTTGAGCACTGTGGTGGTTTGAATATGAACAGGTCACATAGGTTCATATATTTGAATGCTTAGTCACCAGGGAGCAGCACTATTTGAGAAGTATTAGGAGCTGTGGTCTTGTTGGAAGATGTGTCTCCCCTCCCCCATCACTCCCCCCTTCTCTTTCTCTCTGCCTGCAGATCAGACATAGCGTAGTGTTTTCACCCTCATTTATGCTGCCATGCTCCCCACCAGTGGGGATGACTGTGGACCAACCCTCTAAACCTGTAAGCAAGCCCCCAATTAAATGCTTTCTTTTTTAAAGTTGTTGTGGTCATGGTATCTCTTCACAGCAATAGAACAGTGATGAAGACAGACACCCTCCCTTGATTATCCTACCCATACCTTCTCCAGAGTGCTGGGGTTACCGGAATCCACTACCGTACTCCATTTACGCAGTGCTGGGGAATCTCAGGGTTTTCTTACACGCTAGGCAATTACTCGGCCAGCCGGAGCTTTAGTCTTATTACCAAGCCACTTGCGATTCCCAGCACGGTCGTCTCTAGCCCTCAGCCTGCAACTGCTAAGTGAACAAGGAAGCTTGTTTCTTGTCCCTCTCACTTCCAGTGTGTTGAGTCCATGTTACCAACATCAGCCTCTCTGGACCTTGCCTCTTCTCATCCCTTCTGGCCGGGACGGGGGAGCCTGGCCAGATGAAATCACAGAGTCCTCAAATTTGTTACCCTCAAACTCTGGCCACATTATCTAACCTCACTGTGCCTCAGTTTCCCTGCGAGATAATTGGGGGTGGGGTGAGATAACAGGTGTTGCAGTGCCTGGCTGTGTGGTAAGAGTTAAGAACTCAGACCTGCTGTTTACTTCCTGAGTAACGTGCCCCACAAATTGTAGATGCCCAGAAGGCATCCTCTGGAGTGTGTACACCTGAATCTGGCAAAGCGGCACCCGCGCCTCCCACCACCACTACCGGGGGCTGATGATCAGGTCTATAGACCCCCGGTGGAGTACAGATTAGAGCTGGATAAGCCTCTTCTGTCTGCTTTGGGGGCGTCAGGGACCAAACCCCAGCGGAGCGCAGCGCCCAGCTCCTTTGTCTCGCCCGCCCCCTCGTCCCCACTTCCTGCCCAGCTTCAAGCTAGTGATCTGCGAGGCGGTGCAGACTTTGTAAACACGCCGCGCCTGTGGGATGGACACTCGCTCTGTTTGGGTGCTGCGGAGTGCACGCCCCTGTCCTGTCCCTGGCTGGCGGCTGTTATCACTCCTACTGCCCCAAAACAGATGTCCAGCAGCGGGAGAGAACGTGAGGCCATCCTCAGAGCTCCGGGGGACTCATCTGCCAAGAGGTAGGCTTGGGGAACTGGAGAAGCCAGAATAAATGTGACGTTAGCATTGGCTGCTTTGCCTGGGATGTTACTTAGAGTCCAGGTTGGAGACCCGGAGGTGGAGATAGCAGGTGGGTGGTGAGAGGGCCGGGGACCCTAACAGGTGGGTTCAGCCCATCATCGCGCCGCTCTCCCCTCGGTTTTGGCTCCAAAAGCTTTGTTCACTTTCCCACTGAGTGTGATTTTTTTTCGAAGCACCTAAAACCTTGAGCCTCCTAAACGCGTGCCGTGCGCATCCTCACAGCTACCCGTCCTGATGTGCAAATCCAAGGGTTTAGCAGCATACATTAGCTTTGGAGGTTGGAGGACTAACCAGTATGTGTTTGAGTCAGCCAGAGCCAAGGAAGGGGGCCAAAAACTAGAACTTTACAGACGGGTCCTGAGGGGCTGATGTGTACCTGGTCTCAGCCATATGCGTCTTCTAGTGTAGATCAGAGAGTAACTGAAGACGGTCTCTGCTGTTGCAGGGAGGCAGTATTCGTTGGCACTGGCTGTGCACCTACTGTGTGCTCAGTAGTTTCTGTTTGCTGCTGACTGTCTCAGCCACTGCTGGTGTTGGTCTCAGGTATGACAGAGATGCCAGGGAGACTGGGAAGGGGACATTTGGGTTCCAGAGGATGGTTGTTGACCTCAGAGAGAATCTGGTGGGAAGTCTTTGAGGTACTTACTGCAGAGGTAGACTGAATCAGAATGGTTTACTGGGCACTGGGATATATTGGTAACTGGAAAACAGTTCCGGCCTCTCCTGTTCTCTCTCACTTCCAGGCATAAGGAAGTGGGAATAAATAGGCGCAGTTCTGGGACCAACAAGCTGCAGAGCTGGAGCCCCTGAACTCCAGTTGTGCACAGCTGGAGGGTGCCCCCGGGGGTCCGCTCCCCATCCTGGTCCTGGGACTGTTTTCTCCAGCAAGCCCTGTCCTTTGCCCATTACCCCAGAGTCCTCTGGGACTGGTCCTGGGTGGAGGAGCGGTTCTTCTGCTTCTTTCCCGCGCGCCCTAGCACAGCAGGCTACACAGTCATTTAGCATCTTTTCATGTAGCCACACTCTGCCGATGCTGGGAACATCATGGAGTAAAATCAGAGTTTCTAGCCACAGAGACTGGAAATGGAAGGCATCTCTGAACATTCCATTAGGGCGCCAGTCCACATTCAACCCTTGAACCCATGGACATGGCCTCCATGGTTCCCACCCTTTTCTTGTGTGTTTCTCTTCATGGATGCTAGCACAGAGTTGCATAGCACCTGCAAGCGTTTATGTTGTTTAGATATAGCATCTCATTTAATGCCTCTGATAGCTGTATTCAGTCATCAACTAGTATTAGCTCCATTCTATAGAGGAGGAAACTCGAACACAGGAGGTAGAGAGAGCACCTTAAAGAGGGACCTGGATGTCAGGGAGCTGGCGAGATGACTCAGCCGTTAACAGCACTTACTGTTCAAGAAGAGGACCCAGGTTCGCTTCCTAACACCCACACAGTAACTCACAACTACCCCTTTCCAGGGGTTCGGATGCCCTCTCCTGGTCTCTGTAGGCACCAGGCATGATCATGGTACATGTAGGCAAATGCTCATACACATAAACAAAATAGATAAATCCTTTTTAAAAAGTAAAGAAATAGATGTCAAGCTGGGTGGTGGTGGTGCACACTTATAATCCCAGCACTTCAGAGGCAGGGACAGACAGAACTCTGTGAGTCCACCAGTATGGTCTACAGAGTGAATTCCAGAACAGCCAGGGTTACACAAAGAAACGCTGCCTCCTAAAACAACAAAGAGAAGAAGAAGGAGAAGAAAGAGAGAGAGAGAAGTAGATGGGATGTTAGAAAGGGACCTTAAATTCAACTCACTTGACTTGGGACTTGGGAGATCCTGTTCTTTCCTCTGAGACAGGGTCTTGCTGTTAGCCCAGGCTGTCCTCCAACTCCCAATCTTGACTTGCTCTCCTAAGGGCTAGGATGAGAGATACCCATCACCACACCCAGGTCGGAGACCTGCTCTCGGCCTGCTTAATGTGCAGCTGAGCATGTGCTAGCTGAAGGGAGTCTGGGTTTACACAGACACCGGCACTGTCCACAGAGAGTCCCCTAAAGGTCTG